TTTATTATTGAGTTTCAAGGATACACCCTCGGGCACATTTCATGAAAGAAATTGAACTCTTGTGTAAAAAGTGAATGATTAATCGGACAATTTCAATAAAAAATGACATCGCGCATATTGCATGATTTCTGAAACAAACCTCCATGAGCTAATGCAGATTGCAAACCTCATAAGTTTGATTAATTGCACTTTTTTTACTATATATATTAAAGAAATATATATTTTTTCAATGTTTTTGTATTTCTGTTTTCAGTGTTATTTTCAATGTTCAGTCATGATATTTATGTATGTTATTTGTGTTTTTTTTAATAATCTAGCTCTGTTTTTATTACTTTTCAGATTTGTTTAAATTATAATTTAAGATCTCGTAAATATCTTTTTGCGTTTTTCTTATTTATTGTTTATTTCATCTGCTCTTTTCATATCCTTCTTTTTTCTATTTGTTTTCTTTCATACCTTATTTTATTTTTCATTTTTCATCCCACATTTATTCCAATCTATCTTTCCCCTTTTTTAACCTTTTCATCTTTATCTCTTCCTTAAAAAAAAAAAAAAAAATCTTCCACGTTTAATCCTATCTGTCCTCATCTCTCTCTCCCATGTTAAAAAAAATCTTCCACTTTTATTCCATATTTCCCCTCCACCCTTTTATTATTATTATATTATCTTTATCTCCTCCCTCTTTATCCTTCCCGTTCTCCCCCCTCCCCCTCTCCACTCTCATTCCAAATTACCCCTTCTCCCTCTTATTATCATCATATTATCTTTATATCTTCCCTCTCCATCCCCCCCCCCTCTCCAAAGGCCGACGTGGAAGTCCGGCTCGTGGGCGGCGGCGCGGCTGGCGAGGGCGGTCGAGTGGCAGCCGGGAGGGTGGAGGTGCGCTACCTGGGCATCTGGGGGACGGTGTGCGACGACGACTTCAGTTTGGAGGAAGGGCACGTAAGGCCGATGCTGTTTTGTTTCTTGTTTGTGTGTTTATTTAGTTGTTTGTCTGTTGGTCATCAGTCAGTTTAGTTAAGGGGCTATTTTGTTTCTTGTTTGTGTGTTTATTTGGTTGTTTGTCTGTTGGTCAACAGTCAGTTTAGTTAAGTGGCTATTTTGTTTCTTGTTTGTGTTTATTTAGTTGTTTGTCTGTTGGTCATCAGTCAGTTTAGTTAAGTGGCTATTTTGTTTCTTGTTTGTGTGTTTATTTAGTTGTCTGTCTGTTGGTCATCAGTCAGTTTAGTTAAGTGGCTATTTTGTTTCTTGTTTGTGTGTTTATTTGGTTGTTTGTCTGTTGGTCATCAGTCAGTTTAGTTAAGTGGCTATTTTGTTTCTTGTTTGTGTGTTTATTTAGTTGTTTGTCTGTTGGTCATCAGTCAGTTTAGTTAAGTGGCTATTTTGTTTCTTGTTTGTGTGTTTATTTAGTTGTTTGTCTGTTGGTCATCAGTCAGTTTAGTTAAGTGGCTATTTTGTTTCTTGTTTGTGTGTTTATTTTATTTAGTTGTTTGTCTGTTGGTCATCAGTCAGTTTAGTTAAGTGGCTATTTTGTTTCTTGTTTGTGTGTTTATTTAGTTGTTTGTCTGTTGGGCATCAGTTAGTTTAGTTAAGTGGCTATTTTGTTTCTTGTTTGTGTGTTTATTTAGGTTTACTGGTTCATTTATTGTTTGTGTTCATTTAGTTGTTTGTCTGTTGGTATGCAGTCATTTTAGTTAAGTGGCTAATTTTGACGAGTTTGTTATGACGATTTCTGCTTGGGGGAAGGGCATGTAAAGCCGATGCTATTTTGTTTCTTGTTTGTGTGTTTATTTAGTTGTTTGCTAGTTCGTTTGCTGTTTGCATGTTTATTTAGTTGTTTGTCTATTAGTTGGTAATCAGTCAATTTAGTTAATTGGCTATTTTTTTACGAGTTTGCTATGACGATTTCAATTTAAACTAGATGCTATTTTCAATTTATTGTTTGTATATTGTCTATTAATTATCAATCAGCCACATTGATTAATTAGTTTGTTTTAACGATGATAACTTCTGATGATATTTTTTATTATTTATTTGTTATTTCAGGTCGATGTTATTTTCAGTTTTTATCTATTTTATTTATTTTATTTATTTATTTGTTTGTTTATTTATTATTTATCTATGTATGTATGTATGTATTTATGTATGTATGTATGCATGTATGTATTATATGTATGAATGTACGTATGTATGTGTAAACGTATGTGTGCATGTATGTATGCAAATATGTATGTATTATGGATATGTGTATTAAGTATGTATGTATATAAGTATATACAATGTGTACGTATTTAGTTAGGGCATGTAAGATCACCGTTTTCAGTGTTTTATTAACTAAGCAATTAATTTGATTAGTTAGTGACTGATATGCTAGTGGTGATCATCCTTTGAAATACAGCGATATTATTCAGATATATTGCCTTAAGATAATCATCAAAATGGAGTGTAATTTCCTCTGGCAGTATTAGTTTATCGTAAGTTTATATGTATGTATGTATTTATGTATGTATGTATGTATGTATGTATGTATGTATTTATGTATGTATGTATGTATGTATGTATGTATGTATGTATGTATGTATGTATGTATGTATGTATGTATGTATGTATGTATGTATGTATGTATGTATGTATGTATGTATGTATGTATGTATGTATGTATGTATGTATGTATGTATGTATGTATGTATGTATGTATGTATGTATGTATGTATGTATTTATGTATGTATGTATGTATGTATGTATGTATGTATGTATGTATGTATGTATGTATGTATGTATGTATGTATGTATGTATGTATGTATGTATGTATTTATGTATGTATGTATGTATGTATTTATGTATGTATGTATGTATGTATGTATGTATGTATGTATGTATGTATGTATGTATGTATGTATGTATGTATGTATGTATGTATGTATGTATGTATGTATGTATGTATGTATGTATGTATGTATGTATGTATGTATGTATGTATGTACGTTTCTGTATTTAATGAAGCTAGTCTGGGAGAGAGACTTGAAACCACCACTAGGTTCGTTTTACATTCTATGAAGTGATAATGATAATGAAAGTAATGGTGATGATAACGGTGGTGGTGGTGATGGTGATGATGATGGTGATGATGATGATGATGATGATGATGATGATGATGATGATGATGATGATGATGATGATGATGATGATGGTGGTGATGATGATGGTGACAGTGATGATAATATGATGATGATCTTGGTGATAATAATATTGATAATGATTGTGATAATAATATTGATAATGATAGTGATAATGATACTAATAGTAACAGTAATACTGATAATTAAAATGAGAATAATGGTGATAATCCCACCTTACCATCACCATTATCCACTCCACCTCCACCTCCACCTCCACCTCCACCACAACCGTAGGTCATCTGCCGCATGCTGGACTGGAAGGGCGCCGCCTTCGTCTACAAGAACAACTCCTTCGGGCCTGGCGAGGGGCAGGTGTGGCTCGATGACGTCAGGTGCCTCGGGTACGAGTCGTCGGTGGCAGACTGCCAGCACCTCCCTTGGGGGCAGAACAACTGTGACCACACTGAGGACGTCGGGTTGCTGTGTTCGGATACGCCGGCGACAGCGTCCGTAAGAACATTTTTTTGAGTTTTATTAGAAAAAACAACAAAATTATGCATTATAGATTTAGGATTTTTATTGGGTTACTCGACACATTATCTTTATGGAGGTGTTTTCTTTTGAGTTGCATTCGAAAAAACCCACTGGATATAAATTCAGTAAACTTTTTTTTGTTGAGCTGCATTAAAAAAAATCACTGTACACACCAGCTATACATAATCAATTTAAGATTGTATGAGAAAATTATTTATGTTATTTATGTTTATTTAATGGTTAGTGACATGTTTCATTTGTTGGAGTTTTGATATTATGTTTACATGTAGGCCTATGACTTTGAAGATTAGGACATTGAAAGATATAATTAATAATACGCAACTGGAGAGAAGAGTTTATAAGATTGAAAAGTGATGGTAATAATGATTATCACAATAATAGTGAAAATGATAAAATAGTGAAATAGGTGGTTAATTTTAAAAGCTAACAGATCTAATTAACTTATCAAACAAGAATTTTGAAATTCTTATCTGTCATCCATTTCCAAATCGCTAACACATTTAAAAATAAAAATATAATTCAAAACTATATAAAGAATATTGCTTCCATCCTTTCTCCTCGTCAGATTGCTCCATTTTTCGAGACAATTTATTCAGACTCTCTCCTTTCCGTTACATGACCTTCCTTACCTCGCTGCAGGTCGGGTCAATTCAAACAGATCCGTCAGACAATTTCGTGCCCGACCTACCCTCCCTCCCCCTCACGTGCGGGCGGCGGGAGGTCGAAGACACGCCAACCGCGCCCATGGAGAGGCCGAAGGTCGTCAGCGGCCACACGCCTCCGCCCGGCGCCCACCCTTGGATGGTGAGAATCCTGGCATGAGATAAGTCTTGTTATTTGAAAATATGTCGCGTCTGATTATGTGTGGTATTGCTCAAGTGAGAAATTAGGATGTCTAGATAAAGTTTTGCTCATGAAATGTTTAGAATTCAAGTTTAAATTTTAGAGAAAATGCTTTCTGATCGAGCTGTGCCTGAAATGATAATAACTTAACGTACTGTCGAGACATATCCAGTCGTCTTGCATTCTTCAGCTCAGGGCTATGATCCCCCTTGTAAAATATCCGGAAGACTACCATGAGCAAAATCCGCCAAGTTAACCCTGAATTAACAATTTCCCGCTTCATATCCAAACGTGACCAGTATTCATTTTGGTACGGAGCCATCGCCTGGAAATCCTAGACTTTCCCTAAGAACGATTTCTGATCAGGCTATTCCCGATATTGCTATGTGATTCTGATTTAGAGCCTGAAATGCCATCGCCACGCAATATGTCGTGTTGTTTCGGAATTAACCATTGCCTACATTGCCCGACAGGTCGCTATTAAGGTGCGAACAAAGACGGGTCCGTCGCAGCATTGTGGGGGCGCCATCCTTGGGGAGGACCACATACTCACCGCCGCCCACTGCCTCTACAAGTATCCAGCCTCAACATACATACTCAAAGTCGGAGATTACAACAGCCATGTAAGTGCAATAATAAAACAACATCATAGCAAGGGATGTTGCTCTGGCTGCAGGGATGCAATGGAATATCATCCTTAATCGTGTAAACAATGGCTAGAGGGTTTCGCAACGCATTGAAGCCACGCGGCGCCAGCATGGAGTGCGGGGAAGGGGACAGTACTGGAAGTGATTTCCCGGCTGCAACCACGCACACACACACGCACACGCACACACGCACACGCACACGCACACGCACACGCACACGCACACACACACACACACACACACACACACACACACACACACACACACACACATATACACACATACATACATATTCTTCATTGATAATACACACACACACACACACACACACACACACATATACTTATATACATAAATACATATATTCATATACACACATACATACATATTCTTCATTGATAATACACACACACACACACACACACACACACACACATATATACACACATACATACATATTCTTCATTGATAATACACACACACACACATACACACACACACACACACACACACACACACACACACACACACACACACACACACACACACACGCACACACACACACACACACACACACACACACACACGCATATCTATGTACTAATAATTCATGGATCCTCATACAGATATTCCTTTCATTATCAATTCTCCTTCATCAGCAATTCCTGTCTAATTATGCTTCGTGCAAGAATATAACACAATTTCTGTGCTACTCTCCGACGATACTCATGACTTCATATGCAATTCATGACCGTCCTCATGAAATGCTGTTTGAATTGGTAGTTGCAAATTGTTCTCAGTAATGTCATCCTTTGAAGCGCCTTGTGATGCAGAGATCAAACTGGCTTTTAGAATTTCCACCGACAAATTGTTTTTCTACCTGTGGAAACGCAACACAAACGGCCAAACAGAACAATGAAAACAAAGCGACGGAAGGAAACAAGAATCCAGTGTATTACCTGTTATATATTTTTGTTCAGATCTACTCTGTAGATGCATTAGAGCTGAAGAAATGTCTGATCTTTGCTATGTAGTGCTTAGTGGGTCTGATGAGGTTTCTGATCTTACTCGAAACGTCACGATTGTAGCATTTAGTATGCAAGCTGCCTTCGAATAACCATTTCAACTTTACCGTCTGATGGAGTGTCAAGTTCTACACGAAACGTCATGATTTTGGTGTTTAGTATTTGGTCTGCCTTCTTGAAGTAACCATTTCGTCTTTGCTTTCTGAGAGATGAGGTAAACTTTCTTAAACATTTTCCTCTTCGATTGGGTTAATATTTTCCCAAATCATCAAGGTTCTTTTCACTTTCGTACCACCTGATGAGGTATCTGATCGATTTATTAAGCCTTTAGTCTGTCTTTGAGGAGTCATTTCAACTTTACCGCCTGATGATGTGTATCGAAACGTCACGCTTTTAATATGTAGTACTTACTATGCCTCCTTAATACACACTTCCCATACTTCGTATCTCGCTTCTGCAGGAGGAAGAGGAGGGCGAGCAGCAGTTCCATGTGGCCTCCATGACTCTTCACCCGCAGTTCGACAAGGGGCCTTACCTCAACAACGACATCGCTATTCTCACCGTTAAGAAGAAGGATGGGAAGGGGATAAGGTGAGGATGAGAGGCGACAGGTTATGGGGGAGGATGAGGGAGAGACGTTATGGGTGGCAGGTATTATGAGGCCGAGAGTTGAGGATGAGGATGTGAGGTTATGAGGTTATGGGACTGAGAAGGTAGGGATGAAAGCATGTGGTTATGAGGGGATGGTTATGTTATGGATGGCGGGTTGGGATGAGGGTAAGAGTTTATGGATAGTAGGATAGGATGATTTTTTAGTAAATCTTGTGTAGTAACGACTAATAATTATATTAGTAATTATATTAATAATGGTAATAGTAATTATATTAATAATGGTAATAGTAATTATATTAATAATGGTAATAGTAATTATATTCATGATGGATCATAGCAATAAGAATGAAAATAACAACAATCATAAACAACATTACAATAATAATAAAAGATGATAATAATACATTGAAGTGATAATAACCAATACCTTTTGAATGAAGGTGATTTGTGCAAAATGTCGGGGAACTCTATATGATAATTAATACTGTCGGGATCAATTTTGTTACTGAAGATGTTAATGTTGCAATAAATATGTAACCACGCCTTTTTTTTCTGTTTTTCTTTTTTCTGTCATTTTCTCTGTCATTTTCTCTTGTTTCTCTGTTCTTCCTTCTCTCTCTCTCTCTCTTTATTTTGTCATCTTGCCTCTCCATTATCCCCTTCCTTTCATTTCTCTCTTTTTATTTTTTTATTCTCCTTTTCTTCTTGTCTTTTTTTTTCTCTCGTCTTATTTTTCCTTCTCGCTTTTTGCTCTTTGTTTTTTTGCTTCTTCCTTAATTTCTCATCTTCCTTCTCTTCTCCCTTCTCCATTTTCTCTTCTTGTTTCTCAATCCCTTCATTTCCTCCCTTCTCCCTTTCTTCTTCGTATTTCTCCCTCTTCCCTTATTTCTTCTTGCTTCTCCCTGTGTCTCCCTTCTTCCTTTTCCCCTTTCCATTCTCCTTTCTCCCTTCTCGCTTTCTCCTCCTTCTCTTCTCGCTTCTCCTTACTCTCTTTTCTCTTCCTGTTTCTCCCTTCTCCCTTCCTCTCCCTTTTCTCGCTTTTCCTTTCTTTCTTTTCTCTTCCTGTTTCTATCTTCCCCTTCTCCTCTCTTTTCTCTTTTTCTCCCTTCTCCCTTCCTCCTCCTTCTCTTCTCGCTTCTCCTTTACGTCTTTTCTTGTTTCTCCTTTCTCCCTTCTCTTCTCGCTTTCCCTTTCTTTCTTTCCTCTTTCCGTTCCTCCCTATTCATTCACCTGCTTATTATCATGTTTACGCACTACTGATGTCGCAAATATTTTTTATTCTTTCCTCTGCATTTCTGTTGTTTAGTAACTTAATTTTCAAAAATCTTTCCTCTCTGTTTATCTGCTTATTCATTCACCTGCTTATTATCATGTTTACGCACTACTGATGTCGCAAATATTTTTTATTCTTTCCTCTGCATTTCTGTTGTTTAGTAACTTAATTTTCAAAAATCTTTCCTCTCTGTTTATCTGCTTATTCATTCACCTGCTTATTATCATGTTTACGCACTACTGATGTCGCAAATATTTTTTATTCTTTCCTCTGCATTTCTGTTGTTTAGTAACTTAATTTTCAAAAATCTTTCCTCTCTGTTTATCTGCTTATTCATTCACCTGCTTATTATCATGTTTACGCACTACTGATGTCGCAAATATTTTTTATTCTTTCCTCTGCATTTCTGTTGTTTAGTAACTTAATTTTCAAAAATCTTTCCTCTCTCTTCTCTCCCATTTCCCCCTCCTGTTTCTCCCTTCTCCCTTCCCATTTCTCCCTTTTTTCTTCCCACTTCCTATTTCTACTTCTTCCCTTTTCTTTCCCTTTTCGCTTTCCCCTTCTCACAGATTTGGGAAGTACGTACAACCCTTGTGCCTCGTACCACCCGGCTGGAAATACCCTTCGTACCTGAATTGCACGGTTGCAGGGTGGGGTAGCCTCGGTTCCGAACTAGGTGAGTTTTGAGGCTTTGCAAAATTGAAATGACTTTGGTATTGATCTCATGAGGTTCTGTAAGTTTTATTTTTGTTTTATCATTTTTAAAAAAACTATTTGCATGTTTTTTTTTGTATTGTTATTATTGGTCTTATAATGTTTTTTATTATTATTACTATTATTATTATTTATCATTGTTATAATTATTATACTTTGCTGATGTTATACATCTAGGAGATAACTCACTCCTGTAATATTTTTGTTTATTTTTCATATTTCTTCTGTTACTATGTATTCTCTATTGCTATGATTTATAATTTATTATTGTGGTATTTTGCTTCCTTTTGCTTAGTTTTTACTGATTTGTATTCACATTGTGACCTACAAAAAATCGTCCTAGTATAAGTTTTTATTAATTCCTTTTTGAACTTTCGGCATGCACCACGTAATGAAATAATGCAGCTACTTTTTTGTCATTTTTAATGCATCGTTCATTTATCATTCTGTTTAATGCATTTCCTTATTCGTCACATTTCTCTTCAAATCCTTGTCGTTTATCTTCGGTGATATTTACACAAACCCAAGATGTCATCGTCCATCACTTCACTCTGACGTCGCAAACATCCTTTCTGCATTCTTTTCTCTGCATTTTGCCTTTTTATGGATTGGAATTTTCTTTTATTTCATTTCTGTTTTTTTTCTGCTCATTTAGTCATTAGTTTATGTGTTATCGTGTTTACAAACTAATGATAATTTTTTTGTATTTTTCTTTTTCTCCACATTTCTTCTTTTTTTATGAATCAGATGTTTCTATTCTTTCATTTCTGTTTATCTCTTCGTAGAGTCATTATCATGTTTACGCACTACTGATGTCGCAAATATTTTTTATTCTTTCCTCTGCATTTCTGTTGTTTAGTAACTTAATTTTCAAAAATCTTTCCTCTCTGTTTATCTGCTTATTCATTCACCTGCTTATTATCATGTTTACAGAACACTGGATTCTCCAACTGTATTTTTTTCAAGGCTTCTGTTTCTGTTAATTCTATCCTTTATTCTGTAATTTCTGATCATTCACTTAGTATTTATCTATTCATTCATTTATATGTTTATTTTTTCACTTATTTGTTTATGTTCATTTTTACGAAACACTGACGTCTCAATCATTTTACTGCATTTACCATTTCCTCCGCATTTCTACTTCAAATTACTTTATTATTTTTTTTGTCTATTCATTGATTTTATCAATTTATTAATTCTACTATTTACTTACTAACTCATTTATTCATAATTTTCACCAGATACTAATGTCTTTAACATTCTAAACTCATTCTCCGTATTCCTTATTTCTCTGCTACTTGTTTCTTCCATCCACTGTGTATCTCTTCCATCCATCCATCTCTTTATTAACTCACATACTGACTCGTCCTAATTCCACCAGGACACTCCAAGGTCCTACAGAGCGCTGCACTGCCCATCCTACCAGACTCCACATGCAGAGCAGACTATGTATACGGTCCAACGAGGCTGACGGAGGGCATGTACTGTGCAGGCTATATGGAAGGAGGAATAGACACGTGTCAGGGTGATTCAGGGGGTCCTATGGTCTGTATAGTGGATGGTGAGTGTCGCCTGTGTGTCCTTTAGCTTTTGAGTCAATATGATGGTTAGTTATTATATATAATTAGATATCGGAATAATTAGTTATAAGGAAGACTATAATGAGTTAAAGTGATGGCTAGATTGTGGTAATTGGTTGTTAGGAATTCTTTATTGAACCAAAGTGGTGACAAGTTATTAGCCATAATTTGATGAGAAAAAAGATTAGTTTTTACCTATAAATTAATGAGTTACATTGGTGACTAATTATTAGCCATAATTTGATTAATGAGTTATAGTGATGGCTAGATATCAACCATGATATAATTAGTTAAAATCATTAATTATTAGCCATAATGAAGCGTTCAGGATAGTGTATTGTAATGTAGTGGGCATTATAGAAACAAGTCACTCAGGCTGTTAATCAGATTACCCGCAAGTTATTTAATAAGTAATTTAATTTTTTTTATGCTCTTAATTAAGATCCTCCCATTATCACTTTAAAACATTAATAAAGGTTCAAATCTGGAGATCATATATTTAAAATTACAAACAATTAAAACAGTAAAATAGTAAATGGGTGAACCATGCGGAGGAGGGTACTCATCCACAATAAAAGTTGCATAAAGTAAATTACAACGCTAATCTTCCCTCCCTCAGGTCGCCATACTATTGTTGGCATCACTAGCTGGGGACACGGCTGCGCCAGAGCTAATAAACCCGGAGTGTATACCAAACTCACCAAATACCTCTCTTGGGTATACTCCAACATGCGTTAATATAGGAAATATATGTGTATACCATGTATTTTAGTCCCACTGACATACGAACAAATAAACACACACACACACACTCTTGCTGTGAATACCAACGAGCAATCACCAACACGGACACACCACGAGGGAAGAGCGAATGCTCCAAAAGAAAGAAACAAAAAGGAAGAAAGAAACAAAGAAGAAAATAATGAAATAAAAAAGGAAGAAAGAAGCAAAGAAGGAAAGGATGAAAGAAAGAAATTTAGAAAGAAAGAGAGAAAAATGGAGGACGAGGTGTACGGGGAGACGAATCAAATTCCTTGTCACCCTCACGGCAGCAGACATCATAGAGACGACGAAGAAAAGAACCATAGGAATAAGATATGTTAATCTTATAGAATCAGGATTCCTAATCATGGACCAAATGTATGGATCCCCCCCCCCCCCCCCCGCCTCCTAAGATGTTATACCAATGCAGGGGAAAAGATCGGGGAAGGTTTTTCACAAGCAGATAATTTTTCTTACTTTCGCTCTCCCTTTTCTAACTAACAGCCATGCCAATAATATCAATTTCTAAGGCCAGGGATATAATAGAAGGCTTTTCGGACATTTTGCAAATCAATGTCGTTCTACTTCATAATATTTTTCTCTTCCTTTTACTATTCTGAGATTGAATCATTAGGTTGCATCATATACATAGAATTAATATTCGCCCTGATGCATCCAAAGAAGGTTTAAGGAAAAGATATGTTAAGATGATATATGTCAGTTTCAGGAAAATCCTAATACCTAATGATAAGGAAAATTTAAGGATTTAAGGCAGAATCTTATCTCTAAACATTGAAGGAACACGATATATAAGTTTTGAAATTATGCCTCTATTAGATTAAACTTCTCTTTAAGATGTTCACGCCATGAACCTATCAAGACCTTTATATTGCATGGATCGAAATATGGTGTGAAAAAATGAGCCTCAATCAAAACAGAAGATATATTAATTATGACAGATGGCTTATAAGTGCCATCGAGAAACAGACATCGCTATTGAAGTATCTAATTAATGTTGTTATTTACTCCTGACTTATAGATATAGCCGTTACTGTACTAAAACTAAAAATGATTGTTGATATTACAACCACTAAGCGATATGTGGTATCATGCAACACACACACACACACACACACACACACACACACACGCAGCGCAGCAGGAGAAGAGAAGAGAGAAGAGAAATATGAAATATTGTTAAGCTTAATAGCAAGTGAATTAAATACACTGTCCACCCCTCCAATTTGTAACAGTTTTATCATGTCGAATTTATTGCATAAAATGGAACTGTAACACTTTTATCATTGCTATCAATGCTTTTATTCCGTCGTCCACGTGATAAGGCCCAATAAAATAAAAAAATGTAAATCATATATTTTTTTTCCCTTCAGTATTTTTTTCTCAATTCTCACATATACATATGATGTATATTATTGTTGTTATCAGTTCATATCTTTTAATATTTTTCAAACACTTTTTGATAGTGTATATTTGCGTACACACTAAAGAACTGCGTGAAATCCACCCTGCCTCGTCTCGCAGTGAACAACTTGAACTGTCTTGGCGCATGACATCAGCACGTGACATCAGCAATCTCTTAAAGATGCACTATACCATTAAATGTATTTTTGTATTTTGATATACATAAATTTTTACCAAAATACGTGTTTATTAAAATCTTATTTCTTGATATGTAGTGTGCTCTACCTTATTACTATCATTATACACACACACACACACACACACACACACACACACACACACACACACACACACACACACACACACACACACACACACACACACACACACACACACGGCAAATTTGACAGTTCTGCTATGGATTCTCATTGCTCGTTTCAAAAATAAAGTTTGTTTACAGTGCTTCTTGTGTTTTCCGAATTCTCTCCCAATATTCGGTGAAGACAATCTCTTGCCGACATTGTTACGATCTCGGGGATAAATGCTAACTGCAGTGAAATACAATAACCGTTTTCCAGCTACAGATTTTCGTTAGGGATTCGTCACTCCCCAGCTACCCTCCCTTCAACCATAAGGTAAACCCAATTTGTGTCCTAAATGTACAGTCAGTGGCGATCGGGATGTATTGGGATGAGGTTTCCGGTTAGGGAAATACGGCGATCGAGGAAGGGTCCGCGGGTTAGGAAGGATTTGGGTCCAATGCGGCGATTTTTGTGGTAGTTTTCAGGCGTTCCCGATGGGGTTGATTCGCTCGTTCGTTCGCGCGGCGCCGTGTCGACTCATCCGTGGTCGAATCCTAGCTCGTTTTTTTTTTCTATTTTCTTTACCATAGGAATTTCGATTCGTTTTTTTTTTTCTGTGTTTTGTTTTGTTTCTTAAAATGCTTCCAGCGAGCGAAATCGACCGTTCCCCTAAACCACGATTCCTCCACTGAATCCAAGATTGTTGGTATGATTCTATTGCGAACAGTTTCCTGTGTTAATACTCATTAAATATATCTGCGTATTAATTGTATTACCTTGATTATTATTTCTATTAACACAGTTACCGTAATCATAATGGCTGTCACTGTCTGTTTTATATTACTAACGTCATTAACAATATAAATATCGTTACTATTTCTTTCATTACTATCGTCATTCTCTTTATTTTATACTTATCATTACGTCTGTTGCTATTACTATCAATGCCACATCTACTTCTAACAGTGCTACGTCTAATAAGCGCTTAAAAAAAAACATTGAGATTGGGGTTGAGAATGAAGATAAAAAAAATTTAGGTAATACTTCTGTCGAATAATGATTACTGAGGATGCTCTTCGGGGTCTATCATGTGATCCGGACACAAGGGAAATTAAAGATTCTAAAATACTTATATTCACAAAAATAAGCTTCCCGTGGCCTGAAAACATACATGAAAAAAGTCAAGAATGAAACGAAATTAAATTTATCTGTATATAGTTCATATCCATCTATGTCTACATCTATCTCTGTATCTATAATATAAATGTATTGACGTATACTTAACGTACATAGATCTATCATTCAAATCTACAGGGTTGAACACCAAGCTTGGGGTCACGAGTTGATACTGTACAAAGGAACTGGAACTACAGTTTATGGACATTTTTTTCTGGAACGTTTTGGGAAATATAGATTAGAAATCACGAATTTGTTACAAGTTGAGAATTTGTAACCAATTTGGAAGTAAACAACATTTAAACATCCCCTCCAACCACCCCTAGCTGCTGATATAATTCTAGAGGTCATATAAACATACATATCAGTAACTTTTTATTATATCTGACTATAAAGAAAGACAGGGTAGTTCTTGAATGGAAAGTTAATGGCCTTATTCGGTCAACAGCGCACGGTTCTTTCTTCTTCAGAGTAATCGACAAATTAACCTTGTGATGTTATAACAAGAAAAAAATTGCCTTACGAACTTGACTAAACGAATCGTGCTTCAAAGCGGAACGAATCGACAACCGAACTTTTGGACTTGGCACCCCTGCAAAAAAAAAGAAAAAAAAAAGAAAGAGAAAAAAGAACAAGAAAGAAAAAAGGTAGAAAGAGCAAACCCACTACTTGAATATATATGGAATGAATTACTTCAAACATATCGTTTACTGTTTCCAAAATGTATGAAAATCTACCTCCAACTTTGACAACGCCCACGACTAAAAATAAGATAACAATAACACTAATGAAATAGGTATTTGGTCATCTTTACTAGATTAACCTTTTCTGACTAACTATATCATCTAAATCTGTCCAATAATATCAAGCTCCTCTTTCCCCCGATATTCGCCGTGAGCTGCTCGCGCGGGGAAAAGGGGAAGGGAAACTTTTGCAAAATGGTTGACAGTTCTCGGACGCCTGAATTGTAAGTTTATTTTTCCTACAAGTGCTAGAAAATAAATGTGTAAGCAAATAAATAAATAAATAAATTAATAGGCGAATAAATGTATTTCTCTATAAACAGGGATATATTTCATGGCATATAAATCTAAATCTAGATCTTAATCTGTGTATGTCTATCAATCAATCAGTCATTCTGTCTCTATAAACTTATACTCGTTTGTGTGTACATATATGCATACATGCATGTATGTATACACATGCAGTGTGTATGTATACTGTACGTGTGTGTGCACATTTATATCCATACATACACATACACATGCATATATACATATATACATATCTAACTATCTATCTTCCTCGCTCTATATATCTGCATGCACATATTCCGTATAAAAACCCATCTGTATGAGTCTGCTTTTTCTTTTATTGTGGGCAATTCGGTCTGTCCCCTCACGGAAGACTTATTTTTGAAAAGGGGTTGGCGGCGGGAGGCTGAAGTGTACAAATGGTGCAGCAGTAAAATAAAGTTGCGGCGTTGCAACTTCTTTTCCTTTTTTGGGGGGGAGTTTACTGAGGCTGGTTCATATTGTATTTCAAATAGATACATCAAGTTCCAATGAATATGCAAATTTATTTTTAGGGGCGATTTCATGTGGATATGTGCATATGATTAAATGCAAGGTTAAAGGGAATGGGGAAGAGTGGTCTGTGGGGGGGATGAGGGAAAGGTAAATCGATAAATCCATGTCAGTAAATCAGCTAACGTGTGGAAATGTATTAGTACCATTTTCCGGTTACATTTATACAAGAAAAAAGTAAAATACGTTACTGATTTGGGATATGGTTTGTACACAACGTACAAACCATCTTATCTTATTCTTATTCAAAGTCCACAGTAAAAATAATACAAAATCTTATACCTTTTCTTAACTATTTGCGGGTTACAGAAGTTGCTAATTGTAAATGGCGGCCTGGTAAATAGAGGTGTTAAACAATATATAAACCGACGCCATTGCATTATTGAAGTTGAAGCAAACGAAGCAAACTTGAGGTTTCTCGAACACGGTTTATTCCGGAAGAGGAAAGTTCCCCTTCCCTTTAATGTGGCCAATATACCGGGTCTTGTGGCTTCTCACGGCCCTGGATGAGATGGAGACCGCCTAGTGAATTGCTGATCAATAGTTGCTTCCATTCCGTATGAGGGTTAAGAGTGGAAGCGCATACAGACAGCATTGAATTTCAATCGAGTGTTCTGGTGTGTCTCTGAATGTCTGTTATGGCAGTGCGCGGCTCGGGACTCCGTGTTAAAGCTGAATACACTGTCTCACTTCGTATTAAAGTGTGCGACTGCGCGCACATGCTTGTATAAAGTGTTTATCTATTTGTTCATCTAGATCTAGATGTAGGTTTATATTATGTACACACACACACACACACACACACACACACACACACACACACACACACACACACACACACACACACACACACACACACACACACACACTCACATATATATATATATGTAGGTATATATATACATGGTATGTATATATTATGTATATATATATATATGTATATATTATGTATTTATATATATGTATATATCATGTATATATATATGTAGATATATTACACATACACATTATGTATATATCTATCTATATAATATGTATACTACACATATACACACATGTATATATATGTATATATAAAAAATACACACATGTATGTGTGTATGTATTTATATATATGTATAAACCTAGACATATGAATCTATACATATATATTTTTCTGTGTCTATCCACCTGCATAATGTGCGTGTATACATAATTCTTCATTATCATTTTTCACCTCCTCCACTTTTTTTTTTATCCTTAGTCCTGGCCTTCACGAGAGTAATATCCGAGCCAGCAGTCCACGCACCAACGCATCGCATATATACAAGCGCCTCCGCCTTCACGATTCTTGCTTTTCACTTTGTCTCATATTGCCTTGCGTCATTAACCGCTGTGCTAGAGCTAACGTCGGAGGCTGCGTTTGGGGTTTCCAAATTATCAAGCCTTTCTTCGTTTCTGTTTTTTTTTTTTATCCTTAGTCCTGGCCTTCACGAGAGTAATATCCGAGCCAGCAGTCCACGCACCAACGCATCGCATATATACAAGCGCCTCCGCCTTCACGATTCTTGCTTTTCACTTTGTCTCATATTGCCTTGCGTCATTAACCGCTGTGCTAGAGCTAACGTCGGAGGCTGCGTTTGGGGTTTCCAAATTATCAAGCTTTTCTTCGTTTCTGTTGCTTTTTATGCTGGGAAAGTGAAGTATTCTATCAGTGTATCTGTTTCCCTGTGTATTTGTATATATATATATATGTATATATATATGTATATATTATGTATTTATATATATGTATAAACCTAGACATTGAATCTATACATATATATTTTTCTGTGTCTATCCACCTGCATAATGTGCGTGTATACATATTCTTCATTATCATTTTTCACCACTCCCACTTATG